TTCAACTTCATTTATTTTTACAAATTGTTTCCTATCACAAATAAAATTTAAAATTAAACGTACAATTGGACGGGGGAACTGCATATCCAACATTTTTCTCGCAAGAACATGGGGCTGTATAGTATTGAATGCCGACTAAAAGTCAAAATACATGATACGTGAAGAATGGCCTTTATTTGTATTATCAAGATGGGAGTATAGACTGTGTAATTTATGGAGTATAGCATCGCCTGTACTCCGTGACGATCGATAAGCGAATTGCAATGGATCTAAAACCTTTTCCACAGGGTTCCATAATTCTTAAAATAATACGTTACAAACTTTTCATAACAACAGAGGTAAACGCAACGGGCCTTAGATCATTCATACAAGTAATTTTCGGTTTTCTGGGTACCGGTATTATGCATGAAAGTTTCCAGAGATCAGGGAATGTATGATTTAAGAGACAAAGATTAAAAATATAAGTAAAAATACCATCAAGATGAGGCGAGCAGACCTTAAGTACTCGTGGTGGAATCTTGTCTGGACCAGCAGACTTCGATGGATTGAGTTTCATGAATTCATTATGAACATCAAAAATACTAACAATGAATTTAGGGTCATCTTCAGTGACCCAACATGAGTTAAAAAAGGATCTCATTTCTTCCTTAAAATCATAACCATTAAAACGATTATAAAATTCATTTAGCTCATTTACATATTGCACTTTTACATTCGGAATTGGGGTAGGTATATTACCACCATTGTGTAGCCACTCATGAGTTTCATACCCTGCCAGACTTTTTTCATATTGTTTGACTTAAAGTTTTGTTCGACATTTTTCTTAAATATATTCTTCTGTTTCTTAATTTCATATTTAATCTCACTAGTCAGTCTTTTCATACGATTGGTATCACCCAACTTAAATACTTGCCGTTTCTCACACAAAAGTAATTTGACGGATTTTGTTATCCAAGGTTTGTTATTAGGATAAATTTTAACTGTTTTTACTGGCACGCGTTTGTGATACCATTCAAATCTTCTTCATCAGTAAAAATATTCTAATCGGTTGTTTCAAACTCTGTTATTAGGGCTTCTTCAGCTTCGGGTGACCACTTGCGAACTTTAATAATTTTTGGTTCGCATGTTTTTATAAGTATACGGTACCTAGGGCTAAGTAAAACCAAATTATGATCGGAGTGTCCCAAGTTCAGAAGTGGCGACGAAGCATAGGCATCTTTCACATTTGAAAAACATAAATCAAGAACCGCATTGTCTCTAGTTTTACATGTAACATGTTGATAATATGTGACCGTTGTTTTCTTGAGTTTACACCTGTTGAAGTCGCCATTTATAAGTACTAACGCTTCAGAATGCGAACATTCAATGTCCTGAATTATTTCAGCAACCTCATTTATCGCATTCTTTTCGAACTTTTTTTTCTGGTATATATACCAAAACATTAATGACATGCGAGAATTCCCTGGGCAAGTAATAGGGTCGAATACTAACCACCAGTACTTCAGAATATGGTGTACATTTGTGGAGCTTGAGCGTAGAATATACATTAAATTTAGAGATTTATTTGATTTTATATGATTTTTAGTCAATGAATTATAAAAATTAATGATTTTCGTTGAAAATCCAAGATGGCCGCAAAAATGGCCACCAAACAACACCATAGGACATTTTTTTGTATGGGAACATCAAAATTCTTTCACAAGACACTTTAAGGATTACAAAAATTTTAGTTAAAAAAATATATCCTGGGGTGCATGGGAACCCCCTGTTCCTAAATATATATGGCGATAGGGGTCACCCTGTCGAACACCTTGCTTTACTTCAGAAAAGGTGATGCATTATTATAATATTATTATTTTGTTACACAGGAGCTCATAAATCTCAATAGAAAGTTGTTACATGCTTATTAATGATTTTCCAAAAGAGTAAAGCTTTCCAAGCTTTTAAACATAAATGACCAGTCTAGATTGTCGAAGGTTTTTTTAAAATATACTGTATAACATGTTTTAAGCATTTTTATGATTTTTTTTTAAATCTGTTATAGCAATCATAGCCTAATGGTAAAATCACTGCAACAGAAGGGATATCATATTTTAATGACTATTACCGGTTAATCATCTTTTGGGAGTTCTCATTATGGTATTTCAATAGGCCTACAGTTTAGTTTTCACCTTCTCTGATCTAATTTGGTGTTTACAGTAAATTCATGTGACGTTTCCTATTGTGTTTTTTTACCCTACTATTAAATTAGCATTTTATTAATTTTAAATGAAGTAATAATAGGGAGCGATTGCACGACGACGCGTCGCGACGGTAGGACGTAGAACGTAATGACGTCACATAAAATCATCTGCTATGCGAGAACATTGAATTCTCGCGATCGCATGGATTCTAGGATGCAATTTGGCCTAATGATGTTTACATTCAGAGCCTTGTGATAAATTACATTTATAATTCTTAAGGGAATAAGTTTAAAGGCATATACAATGTTATTTTTGCAGGATTTCTATAAATTGTATGCCTGAGGCCTATTATTATTTTATGGTGCAGTAGTTTTTACGTGGGTCCTTTAGCAAGGCACTTTATCGGCATTGCTTCTCTCCACCCAGGATTATAAATGGGTATCTAAGGAAGTTCGAGCGCAAAAATGCGGGGTTTTTTTCTATTATCTAATAAAATTTGAGCCCCGGGGTTGCAAACCCATTAGTGGCTCATGGAAAATATGGGAGTTAACCGTTGGACGTAGGATCCCTGTTGGCAAATTTTTGGAGCCACCACTGATCCAGTCCTCTCAGCTCCGGAATACGTCAAGTAGCATTTGTCTGTAATTTCGTTAATATAGTATTCATTTCATTCAATATTCAACGCAATACAAGACAAAACATACAAACAAGATGTTTATTTCTTGAGGATTACCAAAAGTGCAAGCAATATGAAGTGGTTCTCAAATAATAAACATCAAAAAGCAGTATAGAAGATTCAAATAGATCAGCAATAAACTATTGGAATTAAATTAACATTAATATAAAATGCCAGTAAAAAATACAGGGGAGAACACAGAATTGTAAAATGAATTTTACGATTCATCTTCTTCATCCGCAAGTAATCTAGAAACCCAATCCCAATTATTACAGTATTCCAATGGTGGACAATGATTTATTCCTAAAGATAAACTAATAAAGTTCAAAATATTCAATCATAATTATTGTATCACTTTTTTTTATCCAGTGGTGAATATAGAGGTGCGGGCCGGCCGTGGCCCCCCCCCCCCCGGGGCCCCCCCCCCCCTTTTTGGAAAATAAAGATAGGAAAAAAAGAAAGAAAAAAAAATAAGTAATCGCCCAAAACGCCTCAGAGGTTATTTTCGCGCGTCTAGAATAAAAAATCGCTGGGGTAGTGTTGTCTCGATCGGTCCAACTTTCGACCCCCTTTCGCCCCTCCCCACCTCCTCCCTTTCGGACATCTCTGCATTCTCCCCCTGCTATTTTATAGCTGAATCTAAATGTTTGAATGAATGATGAATAACTTTAAATCATGCGAGACCTGGTTCCTATTCCAAATATCAGGACAGATTCACTATGTGAATGCCCATATTTAATCAGTATGATGCATACATGCCATGTTTTGGACGGATTCAAGAAATGCTATTTAATTTTTGTGGGCATGTTCAATGCCGTAGCCAGGATTTCAAACAGTGTGGGACAGTTCAAAAGTGGACCCAACATAAGAATGGACCAAATCAAAGAGTATTTGAATGAAGCTTTGTGGTGAAATTGTTTTCCCTTGCTTTGTTGAGCAGAACGGCTGTGTACGACATTGTCTGGGTAATGCCTGTGTCTTGTATGCTGTGCCGTAGATTTCCGTGCGTTGTATGGTATATCGGGTACTGTGGCTTGGTTTCACGTACTGGTGTGACGATGTTACTGAACAGACCCAAAACCAACACGAGGCGGGCATAAGATCGTGACCGCGAGTTTTCTTGTTGTGGTGTTCTTCAGTAATTAAATGTGCAACACTGCAACTATATCGATTTTTACTATAGGCCTACTTGCCCTTGATTGTGTGCAATGTATAATGTAACTTCAGTCTCAAAACATAATAAAATTGTATATTGTAACCTTTGCTATGTCATGTATTATTGTATTATATTGTAGATCTAAGATGGTCGGAAGAAGGGAGGGAGATTGGAAGTACAGACGTACACATCTTTCCGATTGACCACTTGATGCAGGGAATCTCGGGAGCTAAACTTATTAAATTATTATTATGAGGTTTTTTTTGTACACCCATTGTTTTGCTGAGTTCGTGTTAGCCACGTCAGAAGTGCCGAGTTCGTGTTAGCCACGTTAGAAGTGCTGAGTTCGTGTTAGCCATGTTGTAAGAGCTGTGTTCGTGTTAGCCACGTTAAGTGCTGCGATCGTGTTAGCCACGTTATAAGTGCTGCGATCGTGTTAGCCACGTTAAAGCACTGAGTATTTAAAATTCTTATTATTCATATAATTGTTTTATTCCTATTATTACTATTATTATTATTGCATTGCCGTAAAGTGTTGATTGTAAATTGTTGATGTATATATATTATATATGTTTGTATGTATGTATATGTATTATATTATTACGGTATATATTATTGTAGACCAATGTGTAGTTTATTGATAATGAGCGCAACTAGCTAATTACCATTGCTATGAATTAGTGACTAACAAGATAATGGTAACATTATTATTATGGATACTATTATATTATTGGAAATCGTTGTTTAGTTTATTAATGCTAATGGGCAGTACTAGTTAATTATGTGTTACAGAGCATTAAGTGTATATATAGCAATAGTTAACTGGACTTATTGTTAATGTGATGTGTTGTGGTTAATAAAGTTTAACAAGAGTTTAATTCCGTGTCGTAACTTATTGCCAAGGTCCTGTGTGTTTTAAAATTTTGGAGGAACTTGGGGCAGACGCGAATTATTTACTGTTTGTGTATGTGGTTTTTACAGTTTTTTAGACCGATAGGTTTACAATTTTAGGTGTTTATTTAGGACCTTGGTTTTGCAGCTTGTGATCTTAAGCCGGGCACTCATTGCGTCGTACGACCGTCGCACGACGAATCCACCTCTGCTTCCGGCGACCGATAGACGACGTAACGCCGTCTGCTGATTGTCAGTGGTAGTCTGAATAGATCCTCATTAAAAAAGCGATCCGTTGGTTCCGCGCCGTTACGTGCATTCCTCGTCGCTTTGCGCAGTGAGTACCCGGCTTAAAGCGGGTTTTCCACTAGGCGAATTTATTCACGCGAATCAAAGTTTTGATTGGTTGCGCATTTTTTCGCTAGCAAATACTCCGATAGAAATGTGAATGCGCATGTGCATAAGCCGCCGCTTTCCATTCGCGCGAATAAATTCGCCAAGTGGAAAACAGTCTTAAGGCTGTGAAATAAGCCTAATTATAATATAGATTATAATAATCTTCCTTTTATTTGACAGCTAGAAATGTGAACAGTTTTTATTGACAGCTTACAAAAAATGAATGTATAACCTCAAAGTCCAAAACGATTTCAAGGTTACAGTTGAGAATGTTCGCATAGTGTTGTCTATTGTGTGCAACCAGATGTAAGATATTAGATTTAGATATGACGAATAATCAGGTAAGTTATTAATATTTTTAATAAATATTGGTCCAAGCAAGAAACTTGAGAATACCTGCTTAATCTTTGAAGCTTGACCTTCTAACATTACTGGTAAATGCCGATCAGAAAAAAAAGAGAAATATGTGAAAATTTTCGGCAAAACCATAAAATTTTAGTATATCTTTGGAAGTTAAAAATTCTGGACATTTGAACAGTGGTCGCACGAAAACTCGAGAATACCCTCATTGGTATCTTTGAAACTTGACCATCTAACATTACTGGTAAATGTCGATCAGAAAAAAAGAGAAATATGCAAAAACTTTTGCCAAAACCATAAACTTTTAGTATATCTTTGGAAGTTAAAACTAATACATTTTCAGCACACTGTTAGAAAAGTTCCAGACGTTTCCACAGGTTCACTCAAAATTGATTGGTTAATTGAATTAGCATAGAATGAGATTGAATATGTTTCTGAAAGGAGCAAACTTTTCCAGTTAGCGGACAATGGTCCTCTAATAACAAAAATAAATCTGTAACAAAACAGACAGCAGTGGTAATGTGATTAATATGCTCCAATTAGCCATTAGATTCGAAATTGATATGATATTGTTGGATAGAATCCAAATAACATAACGAATAATGATAATAGCATAAACAAAATGTGAATTGAAATGAAATACGCAAAAAAAATGAAAGTAAAAGGCCATAATGCCCAATAATTATGAATATCACTAAGGCCTACTTAATTTACTTTACTGCCATTTAACCAATTAGCCACAAGACTCCTCAGCCTTGACTGCCCTGCTTATTCCTGTATAATTGGTAGCGTTCTTCGTGATCTTCACTTGTATATGCTTAAATTCGTTTTCGCGAAACAGTATTTAATGGCTTGACTTGACTTTTTTGTGCAGTCTTTGAATGTGACCCAAGAGTTGCCATCTCGACTCTCTAAGGTTCTATATTTGGAAGCAGTCTCATTTATAACTCCGCCCTCACTTGTCGCGATAAACTTTAGGATATCAACATAAAAACAGCCGGAGGCTGTCGAATGGGGACCTGTAACCACGTGGGACTTACCTTCAGAGAACTTATATAGAGCACCGCAATAGAGACTGGTATTCAAACGTCCATAGGAAACAACAGAAGAGGGTGACTATTTCTTCAACAAGAAACACATAGGCCTATTCAAAAACGACGAGTTGTACTCAATTGACAACAAAACGTAAGTTAATTACCCATTTTGTATTCCCAGATCATTGCATAAAAAATATTTTATTAGATCCCTTTTGTTTCTAACAACCATTTATATTCATCAAATTTCATCGGGAGTGCGCATTTCCCTTCCCTTTCGTGTTAACGGTTTGTTGTTTGCCAATTTTTATTTTCCAATCTGATTTCGGGTCTGAATACTGTCAGCGCCTTGTGACGATCTTATTGTGGAAGGCGCTCTACAAATATCCTACCATTACCATTATATAGAAATAGCCTTAGATGAGACAAATTATAATTCATTTATTTTTTCTCTTTTGTGGAGATTTCACCCGTCATTATTTCGTTCTCTTTCGTTACCATTTTATTTTATTGATAATCAATACTACTATAATATTTTTATTTAATTATATTAATTTTTGTAACAGAGCCAAAAATATCTTGAGCTTCAATGATATTTCTTACAAAAATTCTTTAAATAATGAAGTAAATGAAGTATGTTGGTGTAAAACTTGACAAACACCTTACTTGGAACAATCATATAAATTACGAGATAGAATAAGGAAATAATCTGGAATTTTATTTAGCTTAAGACACGTTGTACCATGTAACCAATGCTGTAGCCAGCTATAGGGACAGTTGGGACAGTCCCACACAATTTTTCCATTAGGTCCACAAAGAATGGGTCCACATTTTTTTAATGGGTCCAGATTTCTCATATTTTGTGTAAAATGCGTCCAGATTACTCATATTTTGCGTAAAATGGTTCAAATTTTTAAGAAAAGGTGTCCAGATTATTCCTATTTTTGCGTCAAATGGGACAACTTTTAAGAAAATGGGTCTACATTATTTGAATTTACGCGTAAAGTGGGTCCACCCCACTGATCTCTACTATAATAGCTGGATTGCTTATTGGCTGGTTTTGCGAGGCCACCGACGCTATGTTAGGGGGCCTAAGTGATGACGTACATTTTAGACAAATTTCTTTTGGCCTTTGTTTAAATTACTGTTAAAAAATAACGATACTTGCATAACTTGTTATTAATAAATTTGAATTTAACGTAATGATTATTATCATCTACTTGCAAGCAAAGTTATTTGCGTTGTTAAGGATGGACGTCACTATAACAACGCAACTTCACTCGCGCTTTTGAAAACTGCATAAACAGTCGCATCTAGTGGTTAGATGGTTTGAAAAAAAATCCTACGTTAAATTTAAATTTATTATGGAGAGTATTGCAAGAATCGTTATTTTTAACTATAATTTAAACAAATGCCAAAAGAAACTTTTCTAAACTGGTACGTCACTTAGGCAGTCCAACATGTCGTCGGAGGACTTACTTTTTTCTGTACCAGGATTGGCCGATGGGCAATACAGATATTATAGTAGTCCACCCTGATATTGTCCCACACTGTTTGAAAATCCTGGCTGCGGCATTGCATGTAACATTTTACTTTTGCTTTATAAAACATTTATTCAGTCAGTCAATAATTATATTTAAAGTTTGGGGCAGCACTTATAAATCCCATTTACATCCAATTTTACTTGTTTAAAAGATGTGCCTTAGATGTATTATTTTCTGTGATTTTTATCTTCCATCAAAATATTATTTCGTTCCCTCAAAATAGTGTAATATTTTTCTAACCATTGTAGCCGCCGCCGTAGATCGGAATGTATATATTTTAGACTGTATTATTTTACACTGTAAATACGAAGACAAGTGTAGTGCTGCTTTCATATCTTGGCGACAACTTGACGTACTGTAGTCCTTATTGTTTAGGCTTGAAAAATAGCAAGATTAGGCTGAAACAAACATTTTATTTTTGATAACGGTAAATGAAGGACAAACAGCAATTTTCAGACTAACAAATCTATTTAATCACAAGCTTTCGACCACGCAGTGGTCTTCTTCAGGTGAATGTGCTGTGGTCAGGGCATTTCTCTAAGTTTGGATCCTGGCATCCTTTGCATCTGTTTTTCTGATTGGTATTTCCGGGATTGGGGAGAAATAAAATTTTATACAAGTATCTAGATTTGCGAAAGACATTCATTCACTTGATAATTTTCCTGAGTGTCGAAATGATAGGTTCGGTCCATATTATATTTCCATACTTATTCGCAAATCGATCGACTTTACGCTTAGATTTTATTTTAAATTTACGATTTTATAGCTCAATATGCTTAACCACATGCACGTCTTGTCACTGCTCGTCTTGTCACTGGGACACCTAAATTCCATCACATCACCCCTATCCTTCGTCGTCTTCATTGGTTGCCAGTGAAACAGCGTATTGAATTCAAAGTACTTTTATATGTTTACAAATCAATTCACAAGTTATCACCACAATACATTTCAGAATTAATTAAGGTTCGTTCTGCAACTTGCACTCGTTCCCTCCGGTCAACAACTGACTCAAACCAATCTTTATTGTCCATCCTTTCGGTTAAAGTCTTGTGGGGAGCGATCGTTTATGGTTGCTGGGCCCAAGTTGTGGAACTTGTTACCTTTATTTATTCGTGAGTCACCTTCTGTCACCATTTTCAAAGAACGACTTAAGACCCACTTATTCTCATCCCTTTAATTTATATATATATATATATATATATTTTCTATTTCCATGCCAGCTAGCTTTTATAGCTTTAACTAGGATAGGAGGCGCCCGAATCCGAGATGGCCGAGACTCAACAGGTGCTGGCTGTAGTTCAATTAGATTGAACCCTAGCCAGCGATCAGGGCGTATCCCCATACTTCGGTTTGGGTGCTGGCATGGTATTCAAATTTCACTTCTTTTTTATTTTGTGGTTTTGGTTTCCGTTCCATCTTTACACTTGCCTGATAGCGCTTAGAGACTTTTTGTATTTTGCGCTCTATAAATTAATAACCATTAACCATTAACCATTAGTTTGTCTGTTACCAGTAAACGCGGATATTGTGTTATGTTTGTAAAGTAGAGTAGTGCATATTCAAATTTGTATGTTTCTCTGGATTTCGCACTCATAACCATGTTCCTTTAGGGGCTTCGTATTACGATAATAAATGGTATAAAAATCTAAAGCTGATATGATATTTTTAAATTGAAAAATTTTTTTTGAAAATGATCATACCAGTGGGCCTAATAAGTTAATTTAGCTAATTTCTTAGGTTTCGCAATTTTGATCTTAGGAGGATAATGAATGGTGTACACATAGTAATGATTATGCAATCTAGGATTACTGACTATTATTTCTTTTCAAAACAGTTGAAAGAAAAATGAATAGCTTACGTTTATTATTGATGGCTTTAGTGGTCGCATTTGTCAGTGCAGAGCATTATAGAGGTGGAACCTTCAGTTGGAAGGCAACTAAAGACGGTAAGGTAAGGATATCTATTTATAATATCATGGGCTACCGTTGAGTAAGGTAAGGATATTTATTTATACTATCATATAGGGCTTCCGTTGAGTAAAGGTAGGCTCAGGTCGACACGGAACTGAAAGGAACTCAACCTCAACTCAACTCAACTCAACTCGTCGACATGAGCGCTCCGCGCAACTGAACGCAACTGAAAGGAACGGAACTCATGTCGACTTTGAGCAACTGAAAGGAACTGAACTGAACTGAAAGGAACTTGGCTCATGTCGACTGGCAACTGAAAGGAACTATTGGCTAAAAACATTTTCCCCGCGAAATCCCATCAACTGCAAAATGTCTGTAATGTTTTTATTAAGATATGTAATTATTTTTAAAAGTGTATCTACTTTATTTTTTTGTTTTGAAAATGTCGACCGGCAACTGAAACAAATGGTGCCTTTGATTAGTCGACAGAATTGAGTGTTTAAATATTTCATTTTCTTCGAAATCTCATCAACTGCAAATAAATGTTTGAATGCTTGTAAGATTAGACGTGTGGTTAAAAATAATAAAATTATTTTTGAAGTTTATCTACTCTTTTTATTTTTATTTAGAAAAGTGTATCGCACATTGGTCTATTTGAAATGGGTTCATGCAAAATCTGGTGGAACAATTAAAACAAGAAAGGTCTTTTTCTATATGAAAAAACAAAAACAAAAACAACAAGTATACACGAATGCATTTTATACGTGACAATGTTTACATGAATCAGCAGTCAAATATGTTATAAAAATGTATTAATTTAATATTACGCGAATGCAGCAGCATACTTTTGATAGAATTCATAATTTAATAATACACTGCAGAGGGACTTTCTGAAAAAGGAATTTAGCTTTTCTTGACCTAGGCCTAAGCCTAGGCCCTAGATAAATGTTCTACTGTTAAAGAATTTGTACAAAACTAACTTCAAAAACAATGCACACTCCCACGAATTACTGGATTATTTATAATTTTATAATTCGTAAAAATGGATTTTGGAAGTGAGATCTGCATGCCAGTTAGTTGTCAAGTCTTGGCTAGTATAGTAGGCATGGCATAGGAAGCCTGCCTTTTTTCTACACTCTAGGCCTAGCCTAGGCTAGCTAGAATATGTATATGCTGTATTTTTATTATTATTATTATTATTATTATTATTATTATTGTTATTAGGCCTAGCCTAGGCCTATTTGTTATTGTGTTAGAATAAAAATCTGGCCTATTGCCTATATTTTTTAAAACAAAGAATAAAGTAATCTGCCATTAACAAAACATTGTAATATAATATCTTTTTTCAGTTAATGTATCTTGATTACGATTAATATCAGGATCAACGTTTTCAGTTCCTTTGAGTTCCGAATCAGCATTTTTTCGCGCTTTTTTCAGTTCCTTTCAGTTCCGCAAAAAGTTGAACAAGGGCAACTGAAAAGAACTCAACACAACTCAACTCAACTTGACTCATGTCGACAATATGCGCGACTGTCAGTTCCTTTCAGTTTCGATCAGTTGCGTTCAGTTCCTTTCAGTTGCGCGGAGCGCTCATGTCGACGAGTTGAGTTGAGTCTTAGTTGATTTGAGTTGAGTTGAGTTCCGTGTCGACCTGAGCCTGCCTTAAGAAAAAAAATATGTTACTATTTACCGCCCAGGCGCGCTTACACAAATTAATGATGGAATATTATATCGTAGTTCCACCCTTTTAGGTCTTATCATAAAGAGCATTCTTTTATATCTATTTATAGTTTAAAATATCGTAAAATAATCATTTTATACTAACACGCATCTACAAGATATTGAACGAGGAGTTGTTACTACATAAGCACACATGGCAGAATTTATATTTAAATTGAAGTACAGTACAGTAGGTCTACAGTCAAAACAGCACAAAACAATGGGTAAGTCAAACGCACCACTTCTGTGAGTACCGCTAATACAACAATATTATGAAAAGGTCAGAAATAGAGAGATATGGAAAACAGTGATGGTTTACTGCCATTCGAATAGAAATACAGAAAGAAAAATGAGAATAGAAGGGAAGGAAGAAAACGAAAGCACAACATGAAAAATAAACACAGTGCAAGATTTTTTGTCCATACTGTGGAAGGACTTGTGCTGCTAAAATCGGACTCATAAACGCCCTCGGGAAATTTTTTCAAGCATTAAATCTAACCTTCGTATAATAATTTTTCTGGTATACTATGTACAGCTCTACAAATTGCTTATTAGAGATTTAGGTCTACGCTGTAGCTTTCATCTACAAGCACTGCAGCTTACTCAGTAATAATAATAATTATAATACATAATAATAAACATAATAATAATAATAATAATAATAATAATAATAATAATAATAATAATAATAATGATAATAATAATAATAATAATAATAATAATAATAATAATAAACATAATAATCATAATTTGGATTGAAATAGATGAGTTTTTAAATTGAGCTTAAATGAATCCAAGGAGCGAGTTTTTGACAGAGAATGGTAAGTCGTTCCACAGAAATGAGGCATAAAAAAACGAAGGTTTTTTGGCCATATTAGTTTTCAATCCCTTGCTGTGCATTTCACTTGTCCTTAGGAAAGGTACTTTATCTGCATTGCTTCTCTCCACCCAGGAGTGTAAGTCGGTATATACTTGATTTTTCGTTTTACTAGAATACCTTCATTTAACTTTGATTGCATTCTTTAAAAAGCGTACACTAAAAATACAATTATTATAAATTTGTTCAAGATGAATTTTTTAAAGTTTTAATGATTTCCAGGTTTTTTTTTAGATCTACTATAGTTATTACAACCTATTTCATTCTAGGTTGACATTCAGTGGAGGCTATCATGGGCGCGAGAGCGAAAAGACGATAAAAAATATGGCACATATCCATTCAAGTGTTCGGAGTCGAAGTTGCGTTTAGATGGAGAAGGGTATTTGATATGCATGGAGTGTACAAATCATATTGTCTACCCAGAAAGTTTATACTTAAACTGCACAAATTGGGATGCGAAGGAAAATTGGATTACAGGAGTGGGCAGGTTTATATATACACCGGAAGAAGGAAGACGCCACTTCACACTTTCGTAAGTTTCTAACGAACCTTACATTTTTCTTATTTGTTACCGGTACTTTCTGCCACTAACTTCAACAGAGATTATTTTAATGCACTGGCCTATACAAGGTCGGCTCATATAGCGTGCAATGGTTGAGTTTCCAAATAGGCCTACCTCGTTATTAGCATTGCAGCAATAGTTCGAATCTCACTAACTTCGCGGTAGTTGTGAACTTGGTTTTCATTTTTTTTTTAAATACTTTTTTTGCTGCAATTTAAAAGCCAATTCTCATTACATCAATGATGAAAAGTCCTATGTTCTGTTGTACAAACACACATAGTCATTCTATTTATTACTGTTATTATTATTATTATTGTTTTTGTTGTTGTTGTTGTTATTATTATTATTATTATTTATTATTATTATCTCTTTGGAAAACATATTGGTTAAAATTTAAATTACATGAATGACATTATCGTTGGTTAATTGAATAATTATCTTATCTTGCACAGGTACCAACTGTCTAATAGACGGGGTGAATTCAATTACGGCAGCCAGTGGATATATAATATGAAGAATTATGGTACTGCTGGCCTTGCTTGGAGAATGGTCACCACCGTTGACTTGAACATCACCAACAACTCTCCAATCACGACTCATCCAGCAATGATCACTTTCATAAAGGAATGTGGGAACGTGTCCGTTCAAATTCCAGGTAAACATAAAAACAAATCCAGAAATTATTTATTTTTAACATAGTGTTAAAAACATACCATCTTAAACACTTTTTTTTTAATTTGCCGACTTTTTAACTGTAATTTTTTTTTAATTGATAAGACAATTGAAATTTCTTGCAAAGAAAATATGCAATTCAAATATTTTGTCTTTTAAGGGTTTTAGCTTGATATACATTAAGTATACTGATGCAATATAATACATACCCCAATTCTATTTTTTATGAAGTGACAGACCCCGATAATGACGATGTAAAGTGCCGATGGACAAACAAAGACAACGAGTGTCCTAAACAAGCTTGTAATTACAAAGGATGCTCTAACCATCGCGTGTGTGGAGATCCCTTCCCAGGTGCCACAGTCGATGAAAATGAATGCCGTTATTTCTTCCCTGTTTCCCAAATGGAACCGGGATGGTATGCTGTACCAATCACTCTTGAAGATCACCGACGAGGTGTTCCTGGTCGTTTGGAAAGTGGCGCTCTTAGCAAGATTCCGCTTCAGTTTCTCATTAAGGTCGAATCAGAGGGTAAGATTTGTATAGACTAAAGTAATTGTACAATTATTTATCATATCGTCACTGAAAGATCGAGCTCCAGGGTCGTGACCAGGGAACGGACGAGGAACTTGTCTCGTCTAGGAGGGGTTTTTTTATACTCTCCCATGGCAGTAATATTTAATTTATGTGTTTCATAGATTGAGTAAGTTTTCACAAAATCGCTCGCTTTTACAACGCAAAATTCTAGTGCATGCGTAGAAACTACATAAATTTGGGCATGGTGGCTCAGGGTTGGCACGGTGGGTTTACAAAAGGGCCAAATGCATATGTCGATATGCATAGCCAATACACAGGTTATTTTCACTTAACCCTTGCAGGATTTTATTTTAATATTCAAGTTTATGCTAATGAATTATTGTCATTATATCATTTTAGTCCTAAAAAATAATATATTTTTAGCTTTATCGAAAACATGACATCAGTATGTATGCAGCGGAGATTAAGATTTTGTTTTCATAATTTTAAAGAGAAAATAGGCCTACTTGAGAATTTTATACAATGGAAAATTATGATGTGGACGGAGGTATACACTCTCGGAGTGTGCTCTAGTTGTTATTGTTTTCACTACTAAATTAATATTATTATTATTATTACTATTATTATTATTATTACTACTAATATTATTATTATTATTATTACTAATATTATATTTCTTATTATTATTACTATTATTAGTACTAGGCTACTACTATTATTATTACTATTATCACTATTATTATTATTACTATTATTATTGTTATTGTTATTATTATTATTATTATTATTATTGTTATTATTATTATTATTATTATTATTGTTATTTTTGTTATTGTTATTGTTATTATTGTTTTTATTGTTGTTGACGTTGTCATCATCATTATCATTATCATCATCATTATTATTATTAATATAATTATTATTATTATTATTATTATTATTATTATTATTATGTTAACCTTGTAATTAAATTACTTTAGAAGAGTTAACCAATATTATGCTTTCGTTGTGTAAAATAAAATACAAAAATTGCCGGCTCCCATTTTGCCAAAATTTTCAGTTAAGATATCGCTCCCATAGTTACTTTTGGGAGTTATAGGATCAGAGGCTATGCTTGCAGTTTGTAGTAAGTGTTGGTCACTAGCAGACCTTTTATTAATTTCATTTAAGACGGAAAGGTGCCTCAGAAATGACAGAGTAACCTATCTTAATGTTGCTGAAAACATCTATAAACCAAAAGAAATCTTTTGCACCCTTGAGCGCGACCCACACGGGCTGCGCCAGGTTTACCTTATCTTATCTTAGGCCTTTTCCTCATCGTCATAATGAGAAGTGATATTCAAAGTAAAAATCACACGAAAACTACTAAAGAAAATTGAAAAATTTAACAAACAAAAAAACTCAACGTCAGGGAAATTCGAACTATGACTGCTATTATTAATCAAAATGTGTAGAATGACGTCATGTTTGAAGAACAAGAAAGGTGATCAGCTTGCCGGTCAGGAAAACAATGTGCATAAACATAGGAATAATAAAAAAATAATTAGAATAAAAATTAATTAGAACAAAAACAAAGGCTATTTTAGCTAACGCAGGAAAAGCCAAAAAATATCAAGTAAAAAACAAAACATAAAAACTAACGCGAAGTTTGTGGGGCTCAAACTATATAGATGCAATGGTAATAGCGAAAGTGATATGGAGACTCATAATCTTTGCTAATCTCAGGACATTTCTCTTAGAATGGTCCTCGTATCAACACCCTACATTTTCAGTTAGATCAGTAGATCAGATTTTGAAATATCTGGTCTGGGACCTTTTCCTTTGAATGGTCCTCCATCCACACCCTACTCCGGATTGTCACCACAATTTCATCATTTCTTCACTCATTTAGATCCATTGATAGGTTTATATTTAGGTTTGGGACGTTAAAAATATAGATGACGGATCGTCACCAAAACATATGAATTTTCTTCCTTGTAGCTTGTTTAAAATTTTCCAACACTTTAATTCAGATCAGTTGATTCGTTTTAAAAATATTTGGTGTGGTGTTTGCCTTTAAATCCCTTAAATTGGTCCTCACGTCGACACCCTACTCCCGATTGCCACTAAATTTCACGCGGCACATCTTTGGCATATAGTATATGTTTGAACTCTTATACACATCTAGATGTGTATAAGAGACAGATCCGCTAGTGTAGCGGATCACCAAATAATGCTGAAATATAGAATACATGCAAAGTTGGAGGTAGCTAGAGGCTTGAGATTTAATAGGAAATAAACCCAATTGACATGACTCGAGGGCCCGTCCATGAAATCAGCGATTGTGATTGGTGGTTTGAAATCAGCGTAGCGGATCGAATCTACGTGTTAAATTTCAAAAACACTTTCACCCACCCTTCTCTTTCTACCAAATATATAAGGCGTGGATTTAGAAAGGGATATGGTAGTTGGTCTTGTCACTGAAAAAAACCCTCGAAGCCTGCTATCAACAAAAGCCAAATAAAATACTGTACTGTACATCATGATCTTAAACTCTTATAT